ACCGGCTTGTTCACAAGCAACTTTTTCTAAGTCAATTTTCGTTTAGGGTAGGATTAGGGTAGGAATTTTCGTTTAGGGTTTGGCTGGGTCACCAGGGTTCAGCCATTACGACGAGCTCTTCCGTAATCAGAAATGGATACTAGACGATCGAAAGTATCCACTTTTCGTCACAAGTAATGATTCGATCTAAAATCCCTTCATTATTGTGTCGGTTGAGCAAAGTAACACAGCAGTCGATGCGTGTTTGCAAGTTCAATTCACTCAATTCATGAGGTACCCGTCGTTCAAGTTTTTTTACTTTCCCGATTTGCTTCAAGTGAATTAATACAATTTTATAACTTACCCCGAAGCCTGCAACTATCTCTGAAGTGCTTGATGATGGATCCGCTTCCACAATAGCCTTTAATTCTTCATTTTTCACTTTGGTCTCCGGCCGTCCACGGGATTGGTTCTGAAGGTCAAAATTTCCAGAACGAAAACGTTGAATCCAAAAACGTACCCTGATTTCTTTTGCAACACCAGCGCCGTACACATTGCAGGTATAACGACGAAAGGAAAGATCTCCCACCGAGCGGCTGATATTGCTCGGTAGACCGACGGTCCGAATGTTGTTGTTTGGAATTTGTATAGATGCAAGCTTATCTTGAAAATGTCGTAAGCGAGATTCAGGCATCTGTCAAATATCTTGTGTTCTGTTATGACTACCGCCACAACATCATCAATCTTTCGGGCTGTTTCTGTAGTACTGGTGCCACGGTAGGACTCGTACTCGTAAATATACCGATATGTCATGTTTTCCATTGTGCGGAAACAAGCGGCGCCAAAGAAAAAAATATGGAGAAAAAAACAAATAAATTCGTTTTCAAAACTTAAAATTACCAGCTAAATGAATTTATAAATTTGAATTTGGAATTCTTAACTAAAGAGGAGATATTTCAGATCAAAGTGGTCAGTACGAAAAAACGCAAATTTCATATGTAAGGACCTAATATTATATTTTATGATAATGAAAGTCATCCAAATGTAAACGTGCCAATAAAAACACGTAAAAATAATAAGGCCATTATTAAAAAATATAACACCTACTGAATTAGGTTTAGGAATTAGTACTTAATTAGGGAGAATATTGTAGAGTTGTCTGCATTTAAACGGAATTGCAATCTCGCAAAGTCTAACGAAGCACAGTGAAAAGCGAGAATATAAATTACTTTTCACGTATCACGTAAGTACATATAATGGAAAGAAAGTCTGTGAAATATTTCGAGCACTAGAGTATTTCTGCGAAGGCGAATTGGTTTCCACTTGAGGCTTTTGTGAAACTCAGAAACGTAGTAAAATTTTCTGAGATTCGAAATAAAGCGAATAAATAAGTTTTTCAATCACTGCTTCGTTGAAGGACTTCTCAATGCCTTCTAAATAGCAGGCATAGACATAATCAACTGTAGGTAAAATCAGCGATTGGGTGAGAGATATTTTTGTATGCTCGGGCTGCTGCTGCTAGCAGTCTACGTAACATAATTGAGAGTTTGAGCTCATTTATCACGACGGGTAGCGTCAATCATGCTGCTCTGGTTCAACGAATTCCAATGACAAAAATAAACATAACCTTGACCGATGGTCTAAATAATAAAATTAACATGCTGTACTAAATAATTTAGAGGCTAACAAAGATTTAGAGATACTGCAGAATAACCAAAAACACAAAAGTTCGGTTAATGAGGTGCCTGGTCTTTCCGATCTTTCTGTATGGGGCTGAGACGTGGACGCTGAGGATGCAAGACCGTCGTAAGATTGACGCACTAGAAATGTGGTGTTGGACACGTCTCCTCAGAATTCCGTGGACCGCGCACCATACCAACGTTTCGATCCTGAAAGAGCTCAACATCAAAGAGAGATTATCGTCAACAATGCAAATACGAATCCTCAAGTTCTTCGGGCAAATCGCTCGTAATGAGGACTCCATTGAGCGGTTGGTGATGCAAGGAAAAGTCGAGGGCAAAAGATCTCGCGGACGATCTCCAACACGATGAACCGACCTCATAAAATCTGTGACTTACTCCAACATAAATTATTGCTCTCACTCTGAGAAACACGGCGCCACATGGCGTCGCATCGCAATAGCGTCGGTGTCGCAGGATTCGACTGATGCATGACCACGATTTTGTCAAGAGTGTACGACAAGGAAGAAGACTAAAGGATTTATATTTTTTTTACCTAAATTTGTCGGCAATTGCGCTACTTATTAGATTAAAAAACGTGGATGTACTTTAGAGTAGATAACCAATTTCAACCAACCAATATCAAATATTGGAAATACAACTAACACCTGCATAATATATTATGTTATGCCCAATAAATGTTTGGCTAAATCATATAGACAAACTTCTCCGTAGTGAGATACTACTTTTCCATCACCTTATATGATTTTTTGATTAGTTACGTGACTCCCTAATCCCGGATGAGATGGTGTACAGAATTGAATCTAGAAATTATTTTAATGGATTGTGTGGTTTAGTAGCAACTTCTACTTGATCCAATATTGCGTGATCATATTATTATTATGTGTATTTTCAATTTGCTAGGGAAAGTTTTTATGACATTTTAAGTTAGATGAGAATTATGGCTGACTTGGCTTTGCCCCTGACTTGTTGATTTTCACGAGCAAGGAGACTATAATAATGTATTCTATTATATTATGTTTCAAGGTAATTTAAAAATGGCTATCCTTCCCTTCAAGTCAGTACGCATGATTACTTTCCGGTCATCGTTCTCGTCAAGCCCGTTGCTTGCGACGAAGGGCTCGGCGAGCAAATTAACCCACAGATACAGCCCACTGAGTCTCTCGCCGGATTTTCTCAGTGGGTCGCGTTTCCGATTCGGTGGTAGATTCTGCAAAGCACTGCTCTTGTTAGGGTTAGTGTTAGTAGCGTCGTTAGGAAAAGTTGCTCGCTCCGGGCGTTTCAATATTGCAATAATTGTTACCATATATTACATCTTGTAAAAATGAATATTTAAAAAAATCTAATACTAAAAAAAAAAGACATGCCCGCTGAGTTTCTTACCAGTTCCTCTCAGGACGGAGGCTAGTTTTTGTGAATTGGCGGTATTTCTTTTTGACGTTCAACTAGTGTGTACTTTCATTTATCTTTATATATAAAAATGAATTGCTGTTCGTTAGTCTCGCTAAAACTCGAGAACGGCTGGACCGATTTGGCTAATTTTGGTCTTGAATTATTCGTGGAAGTCTAGGGAAGGTTTAAAAGGTAAAAAATATATAAAAAATCTCGGAATTATATAAAAACAAACAATTTTGTTTTTCCTTTGATGTGTCCTCTTGATGTGTATTTTATTTATCGATTGAGGCACTACGAAGTTTGCCGGGTCAGCTAGTGTTGAATAAAAAAAATTGATTTGATATTTGAAGAGTATAGCCGCTATATCAATTTATAATCAATTTATGGCTTCTGAATCCTTTCGATACAATAACACAATAAAAAAAAAAACCTTGAGATCTGAGATCGACGTTCTTATTAAATTATTTAACGGCTGTCCCATCCTCCATCCTTCAAACCAGAACGCGTTACTGTTTCACGACAAAAATGATGAGTACCACCGTATATGATAGATAAGTAATTATTTAGACCCCATAGCAATGCTTAAATACGTCCCTGCTCATAAAATTGTTTACTTAACGCCTCGGAGAGCGTTACGTGTGCTATCTACGTCACATATAACTTAACTGAAAGAGCTGGTTGTGACGATTTTCCTCTATATCTGTTATTTCTTAATAATAGCCTTTATTGAATCATTGATAGGTCTTTATCGGTCCTATTAATAATACATGAGTCTACATCGTTCCGAGCCTAACTAGCCGTACGTGACTAGCCGTAATTGGGTCACCATTTATTTCGTTTTAAAGGAAAATTTCAATGCGGTTGTTTAAATTCAAAAATAAAAAATCCTTATCAACATCAAATTTTTAATGATACGCAACGTCACAACATATCACACTCATCACATATATACGAACATATATCTAATTATATATATTTATAATGCTGATAATTTGCTATTAATTATGAAGTCAATGTAGATTTTAAATTACTTGTTTTGTACCTAACTATCTATGTGGAATCCTTTTAAGTAATTTAATAACCAGCTTCAAGACATATACTTGACAATTTGTACACGTATCAAGAATCTTGATAGTTACTGGTGGTAGGACGGCTTGTGAGTCCGCATGGGCAGGTACCACCCTACTCCTGCCGTGAAGCAGTAATGCGTTTCGGTTTGAAGGGCGGGGCAGCCATTGTATTGTTAAAAGTGAGGCCTTAGAACTCATGTCTAAAAATGGGTGGCGGCATTTACGTCGTAGATGTCTATGGGCTCCGGTAAACACTTAACATCAGGTGAGCCGTAAGCTCGTCCACCCAACAAAGTAATAAAAAAATACTGGCTCTGACACTGACTCGACATCAGTACTAGCTGGCCTATACTTCATAGACGATGTACGGCTATTTCCATCTACCCCCCTTAATTATAACCAAAAATACTTGTTACGTGCACACAGCAATAAAACTAAGTACAATATTTTTATAAATTGCGATAACCATAATACATGTACACAATTTTTTTTTTAAATCCCTTTACAACATTAACAATAATTTATACTTCATACAACTTCTAAAAATCTTGCTAAACAACAACATCAGTATATCCGACAAAAATATGATGGTTAGGAATCCAGCCTTTACTTGAGAGCTTTATAATGTGAAGAACAATTAGCATGGAATTGATGAAAATGAGACTAATTAAGAGAGGTCTGTGACGAGCAGTTGTGTTTTTGTTGATTGATATCTTCAATAGTTGGTTCAGTATCAACGTCTGTAATCTATATGGCCATGCCTCTGGAGCATCTAACCTTCAGATATCAATTAAGAGAGGTCTGTGACGAGCAGTTGTGTTTTTGTTGATTGATATCTTCAATAATTGGTTCAGTATCAACGTCTGTAATCGATATGGCCGTGCCTTTGGAGCATTTCTGCTGAGAGCGCGTGGGCGGGTGCGGTGCGTCGGGAAGAGCGGGTCACGTGGCTCAACTGGGTCGTTTGGGCACGTGTCTCGATCCCACGTGGGACCTGCGCCGAGTAATGTCCGTTGTATCGAAGAGTGTTCATCTGTGGACAGAAATCATTTACACTTGCTGCAACGGGCAGACGACCCACGTGGCTCTTAGATGTCACCTCACCTTTTTTATTTATTGCATAGATGGGTGGGTGAACCCATAGATATCTACAACGTAAATGCCGCCACCCACCTTGAGATATGAGTTCTAAGGTCTCAGTATAGTTACAATGGCTGCCCCACACATCAAACCGAAACGCATTACTGCTCCACGGCAGAAATAGGCGGGGTGGTGGTACCTAGCCGCGCGGACTCACAAGAGGTCGTACTTACGTTGTGGATGTCTATGGGCTCCAGTAACCACTTAACACTAGGTGGGCTGTGAGCTCGTCCACCCAGCAAAGCAATAAATAAAACAGTTGAATGCCATTCCATTAATTACAATTATTATTGTTATTCGGGATAGGTTAAAATAGAACTTTTTTTTCAGTAATTTTGGGTCATAGGCTTTGTTAATTCATCTGGACATCTTAGGTAAATGGCATTCGCTGCGCGAGAAATAAGCAATATTTTATTATGTTTTCGTTTTTATGCGTATTCAACAAAAAGAAGGCAAAAAAGTGAATATTAATTGTACCTAAGGGATTTTTGTGGCATTGCCACCCAAAATATTTCAAGAACCCATTTTCAAAGTAAGTACCTTTTAAGGTTTCTTTGTTGTTTCGTAACCTTTGGATTACTCTTTATTTTAAATTACAATACGATACTCCATATTTGTGTAGACCTTCTTCATGTGATGATTACAAAGTAAAGTTGCGACAGATTGACAGGAAGAAATTTTAACGATACGTTTTTGGCTATTTTTAGGATTGGATGCTACATACATATATTCACAGTTTATGTCAAGTTGAGCAGCTAATTGAGCTCCTAAATATCACCAAGTAAATTTTAACAACTTACGCTACTACTACGAATGTCCACTTTTAAATCTGGAACGCATGACTTCTCCGCGATAGAAAAGATTAAAATTAATTGGATCTATAAAGATTTATATGCATTTCTGAATACACCACGTTACCGCTGAGTTCTTTTGAGGACTTTATTAACATTTTTTTTTTATTGCCTTTGTAGGCACACGGGCATACGGCCCACCTGATGGTGAGTGGTTACCGTCACCCATGGACTTCAGCAATGCCAGGGGCAGAGCCAAGCCGCTGCCTACCGCTTAATACTCTCCACAAGCCTCGTTTGAAGAAGGACATGTCATAGCGCTCGGGAAACACATTTGTACATAAAATAAAAGTATTCACATACCTGTAGATAGCACCGTTTATGCGGCTCGTGGTATAATTCATAATCACTTGAAGATCCCTCCGGTTTCTGATTACATCGCCACTAGAATTAAAAAAAAACAAATATGTATATTCAAAATTTAATTTTTTTTCTACCTAGCTTTTTCTATCTAGCTTTGAAAGGCTATTTTAGCTTCTCCTTGTCATGTAGGTGAGCTCACGGGGCTCAAACCGGGAGTGTTGCTAACACTGGCCCTAGCAAGAGCAATGCTTCGCAGAATCTACCACCGGATCGGAAACGCGACCCACTGAGAAGATCCGGCGAGAAACTCAGTGGGCTTTGCATATATGCAAAATTATATTCGGATATTATGTGGTCCATTTAACAAAGGCACCGTCATATAATTTAAGTTATTTAATATAATAAAACTGAGGGTAGAACTTTCATTTACTCGGCAAAAGCAATTCATCAAGTAATTAATATAAGCCGGCCGAAATTAAAAGTGAAATAATTGATTACTTGTTTGTTAGTTCATGTGTAGGCTTTACTTTGTTTACCCGGCTTAACCTATTAATAAATGTATCAGATAATTAAAAGTTAACTTGTAAAAAACAAGTGGGATGATTATCAAGGGAAGACCGATGAAAGATAGATCAATAATCATTGTATAAAAACCAGTTTTTGCAGACTTCAAACAATAGCAGGAAGATAAGATCGTTTTACCCGTAGCTAATGCGTAATATTTTTATTTTTATTCGAAGAATTACAAGTTTAAATTTTAATATAAGTATTTTTGTTTTCCGCCGATAAAGCCATTAACTACGCTATTAAGATTCAGGATAAACATTTTTATGCTGTCGGGATTTTTTTATAAACATTCTTTGTGTTTCCTTGAAACATCTTCAAATAACGAAATCTTTTTTTTATTGACTTTGTAGGCAGACGAGCATACGGCGCACCTGATGGTAAGTGGTCACCGTCGCTCATGGACGTCAGCAATGCCAGGGGCAGAGCCAAGCCTCTGCCTACCAGAAGAAGAAGACAGAAGAAAACAGATTAAATGCATACAACCGTACCGCATATTAGGACAGGCTTGAACGAGTGCAACCATGAGTATCCGTGAGCATTTTTAACGTTCAGTGATCTGTAAGATTATCTTAGCAACAAAACCAAACGTGTATTTGATTTGAAGCACGTTTACGATATAATATGGCCGTTTATTATTTTCATAAACGATTTTCGTCTTTTCAAAGATTTCACAGCTTATACGAGATTTTATTGGTAAAATAAAGTCACATTAGTTTTATTCAAGTTACCAAGCAAGCAAATATCAATCAAGTACTAAATTCGATTGGGTGTTTGAGGCCATAAAAATGAATTTATAACAATTGATTAACAGAAAAAAACATGTTGTATTGGTAACGAATGGTCACTAAATACAACAATAGCTTAATAGGAAGGGCGAGATTAAACCGTAAAACAGTTGGGTTATGGTCGCAACTCGCGAAACCGAAGAAATTTACCGTAAACTTGGCCTGCTGACACAACGGTCTCCCGCACAGCAACTTCTTAACCGATCTCTGGAATTTCCTCGTCATGAAACAATACACGATGGGGTTTATGGCTGAATTCGCGTGACCTGTGGACAAAATGGTATACTTTATTGTTTTTTTTTTTATGTTTGAAAGATTACTGGTGGCCTTGAGGCCTTTCCAGTTTCGGAGGAAGGACGCTAAGCAAGAAATGTGCGTATTGCTTATAGTAGTCGCACGCTTAATAATAGACTGACTAATTACGATTTATGACAGACAGACAACTGTTACTGGTGGTAGGACCTCTTGTGAGTCCGCAGGGGTAGGTACCACCACTCTGCCTATTTCATCCATGAAGCGTTTCGGTTTGAAGGGTGGGGCAGCCGTTGTAACTATACTGAGACCTTAGAACTTATATCTCAATATGGGTGGCGGCATTTACGTTGTAAATATCTTCGGGAACCCATCAACACCAGGTGGGCTATGAGTGGGCCACCCTTTTATGAAATAAAAAAAAAGCTAGTGGTATTATAAAATATAGTAACCATTTGGTAATTGAGTTCGTCTACTGTAAAATCTCAGACAAGGTTAATTAAAATTATCTATTCGACAATGAAGCTTATTAGGCCACTTGTTTATTAGGTCTGTTTAGTACAAAAGCGGGCATATTACACGTAAAAGATTAAGTGAAACTTTTAATAAAATACAGACGTAAAGCAAAAAGTATCATTAACTGTATAACAATATAATATGATTTTAGTAATACCGGTTTATTACAAATTATTTGCATATCTCTGAGATAATATTTCAAAGCTCATAAAATTATAAATAAGCAATAAATGAAAATAATCAAAATTACATTTTAGCATCAATAATTATTTAGGAAATCAACGATACACCACACACTACTTATCACTTTGATATTAGTATTCATTTGGCTAATTTCATTAGGATAAAAATAATTAAATCAAACTAGTTGTAAACGAAAAAAGGTTCTTGCTTTTTAAATGTCCGGATAAATATTCAAACTCTCGAAAAGTAAAGTTAAAATTAACAGGACTCAATAACTGATTCACACCAGTATAAGAATGGCAACAATCGTCATACAATCAGACAATTTCGCGAGTTCGATATGACTATTATTCAACGGTGTATGAACAAATAGCATACATATCAGAGAGAACGTACACCAAAAACAACCTTAAATGGCTATAAATACAGAATCCTTGATTGCTAACTCATGTGGAAACATGTCATTGTCACTTTCTAAATACTGCGAGAATGGAAACAGGGAGAATAACAAAAAGTTTGTTCATTTCGTGAATATTGTCTTCCATGGCACTTCACCGCGGTCATTTCACGCGTCGTTCGTCCTTATTGGGTCAATCACAAATTTTAAGCGTCCTACAAGAGAGTACTACATGTGTTCCGGTCTGATGGTTGGGAAGGAAATTATTCGCAATGCTAGTTTATGAACACGACTGGACCAAGGGTCTGAAGATTCTTGTATAATACGGAGATAAACCTTATTATTCTCGTAGTTTTAGATTTTTGATATTCTAAAATAAAAACCATAATGGAAATCTTCAGAACATTATTCATTATTAATATCATTATTTGATATTATTACATAAATATACTTGTTTGGTTTTAAACTTAATTTTTAACTGCGGGCTTAATCCATGTTACAATTTGTGCATTTAAGAGCTCACCGTATCTATCTATTCAGAAATAATCCATTTCCAAATAATAATAATAATAAAACATATATTTTTCTCACATCATCTTTTTTTTTTTTTCTTTACTGCGCAAGCTTTTACTACACATCTAACACCAAGCTCAAGAATTTAATCTGGTGAAAGCTATACTCACCCAAGAATAAAGCATACGGTAAATAAGCGCTCAAATCTTTCGCGTTGACAACACTGACGTCCAGGAGAAGCTGCATGATGTTATACGGCATCCAACAGAGAGCGAATAGAACCGCTAGCAGAAGAAGAATCCAAGCGACACGCTTCCTCTCCTTCATCAGCCGTAGACCCTGCGACATAATTTGGCTTTAAGAATCGAATTGAAAATAAGTAACGAACTTGCGATTTTTGGGTGCGAGGAATACCAGCGGATAACACATACAGCGGTACCAGAATAGTTCATGTGTGAAATAAATAAGGCATTCTTCTGTTTATACAAGGAGTCTAAAATTTTCATAAATATATGTGTGTGTGTGTGTGTGTGTGTGTGTGTGTTTTCAGATGAGTTACCGTTGCCTATGGACTTCAGCAAGGTCAGAGATAGATCCAAGCCGCTGCCTACCGTTAAGTACTTTCCACAAGCCTCGTTTGAAGAAGGACATGTCAAAGCGCGTGTTCATCCGAAATTAGTGATAAGAAATGGTTGATGACATTAAATTCATAAGGAGCTTAATAAGCAAAAAATCATTCATAAATCTAACAATAGCTCTAGTTATTGGTGATCCCAACACAAGTCCAGATTCGATGCTCTATCGGTATTTATTTTTTATTGCTTAGATGGGTGGACGAGCTCACAGCCCACCTGGTGTAAAGTGGTTACTGGAGCCCATAGACATCTACAACGTAAATGCGCCACCCACCTTGAGATATAAGTTCTAAGGTCTCAAGTATAGTGCAACGGCTGCCCTACCCTTCAAACCGAAAAGCATTACTGCTTCACGGCAGAAATAGGCAGGGTGGTGGTACCTACCCGCGCGGACTCACAAGAGGTCCTACCACCAGTAAAAATTGTCATGACTACTGGAATTGTTACCATGTGAATTAGAAGCCTAACCATATTTTAAGGAACCGATGTTTTATAGGGGAAACAAGTGCCGCAATTTATCTTTCTTACTAACTTATTCAGTAATTCTAAATATGAAATGAATTTTTTTTATTGCCCTTGTAAGCAGACGAGTTACGGCCCACCTGATAGTAAGTGGTTACCGTCGCCCATGGACTTCAGCAATGCCAGGGGCAGAGCCAAGCCGCTGCCTACCTATATGAAATCCTCTGATATGGCAAACTTTAAAATATGTTTTATCGTCTGTTAAAATAGGAACATTCTTCAAATTCACCGACGTCTCTAAAAAGGTAACTTTTGTTTTTAACGTCAGCCGTTGTGTGGTAGCGTGGTGCTATTGAGGCAAACAGAGCCCTAATATCATTTATATTACGTATGTTTAGAGTTATTTAACTTAACAATTCCCGCAACCAGTAATGCCTTGTAAATTCAGTGGCATTTTAAGAATATTGAGACTCATTCATTCAAACAATATTCACCTTGACTTAGAACTGTATAATTATTTTACAAACGCTGTCGTTGCGCTCTGTCCCGTCTGCGACTAAGCTTAGAACAACCGACACCATTATTTTTGAAATATTATTCAGAGTTGCAATTTTATGAAACATAAATTACATCGTCTCAATTTTTTTCGTCTGTGTGTTGCATGTCGCGTGACGGTCGGCCGCGGAGTAAAGATAAAGTGAAAGGCGCTCGTCAGAGCAGCCAAGGCCAATATGGCGGCGCCTATAATTCGCAGCAGCTGACCGTGTAGTGTATAGACTATTAGGTACTCATTTGTGCCAGTGCTCCACGCTATTTTGTTTGTTTTTGTCAGAGTTAAATGTCTATAATGTGAAAAAAAGTTTCACTTTTACCGTGGTTTCATAAAACCACACAATCCTTTCTTTGTAGAGGAAAAAAACTCTAAGAAAGACATTAAATTTAATATTCATTAGTTAAATTGTATATTTGTGTTTTTTTCTGCCGAACCGTTTCCCACACGTGTAATCTGCCTGTAATAACAGTATCCTAGATAAATAGCGTCGGGTCAAAGGTTCTCGTCCACGTGGAAGGGAAGAAAATAAATGCCAAACGAGATCGCTAAATCTGTCAAAAGGAATGAATATTATTAGGGAGAATTGCTAATGATTTGATGTTGTTGTTCTGTATTTATGCTATTATTGTATCAGTAACAAGTGTCGTCTTCTAACGGAACTCAACAATCACTAAGATGTTCGTGGATAGACTTCACAACGTGAATTCCGTCACATACTTTAAGACGTGAATTCGAAGTTTCACACTCTTGAAGCCAGAACGAGTTACTGCTGCTATTTCTTCAGGAACACGTTTCACATAAAAGGAAAAAAATATCGATGATATTTTAACAATAATGAAAAATTATTGGGGAACTCCAAACATTTTTAGGAGAAAAACCAAACATTTCATGTGGGACCCCAAAAATAGGATTGCAGTGATCCCTTTGTACAAAATGGATGGTCATATTCCAGACACTTCAAAAGATTGGTATCACAGCCGTATATTCGTATATCGTATTATCAACAGATACAACAACACTTTGCCTGTCGAAGACCAGAAAAGTTCGGGGTGGCCACGTTCTGTTAGAACTACAAAGGCTGTTAATCCTACTAAAGCTAGAATTCGTCGAAACCCCATTAGGAAGCAAAAAATCTTATCGCTAGAAATAAAGATTCCCGCTAGGACTCTGTCGCGTATTATTATATAAGACCTGAAGCTCGGTGCTTATCGTCGATATACAGGACATGCCCTAAATAAAATTTTACAATTAACGAGAGTGAATCGATCTAAACGCTTTCTGCTGCGATACACCGGTGAAATGCCTAGAAATATCCACTTGACCGATAAAAAAAATTCACAATTGAAGAACACCACAATAAGCGATATGATAAAGTGTACGCTCACAGTTCTAAAGAAGCTTCTCAAGTGGTCGGAAAAGTACAACGTGATCATCATCCTGTGTCAGCGATGGTTTGATAGGGCGTGTCTTACCAAGGGTTCACAAAACTACTTTTGTGAAAACTGAGTGAAAACTTTAGACAAAGTGTACCAAAATACAGTCTTGGACTCTTGGACCATGTTGTGAAACCTCTCACTTTTTTAAAACATACCGTGGACTTTCCAGCAGGACTCTGCACCTGGTCACAAGGCACGAACTACCCAAGCCTGCCTTGAAACCAACGTTCCGGATTGTATAAAGCTGAAGACTGGCTCTCATATAGCCCACACCTCAACCCTTTAGAGTTCGAATTATGGTCATTTTAGAGGACATGGCTTGCTCTAAACTACACGGCGACATTGGATCTCATAAAAAATCTTCAGAGCAAGCGAAATTTTCCTTGAAAACACTACGTAAAGCCATAGATTCGTGGCCAAACCGATTAAAGGCCTGTATAAAAGCCAAAAGTGGCCATTTGGAATAGAATATTTTTTAATTTTTTGTTGATACTTTAACAAATATGTAGGTACAAATTTTAACAATAATACTACAATACTACATTTAAAAAATTCATTTTCATTTGTAACTGAACTTATAGCTGGACTAATTAGGTAATGTGACAATTTATCAACAACGTAACGTGACGACGGTACCGAGGTAACTCATCAATTCTGTTGCAATCAGAAACGGGAATCAGATTAACGAATTGCCATAGAAAAAGGAGTTTTCTTGTGATTCAAATACAGCACCTCGCCAATCGCCCTAAAGATAGTGATGTCCAAGAGCATGTGGTGGTTAATCAAACAAATAAAAGATATATTGAAATAAGTAGTGTTCATATATAATATTATGTAGTACAAAATAAGATAATCTATACGACAAATAAAAATATACTAAACCAATAAAAATATAAGTAAGCAAAAATATAAATTTATAATAACTAGTGGTCCCGCAGTAGTCGAAATTCGACTATAATTAATTGAAATTATTAGTTTGAACATTCTTATTGGTTCTATTGTCAAACACTACTATATTTCTATAATCACAGATTTCGCTAAGACTGCATCATAGATTATACACTTAATATTTGAGAGACTGCACTATAGACAAATAGTATTAAAGATAAACAATATTAATCTATTCTCAATTTGACCACAGACTTTAAAGATTAACAAAAGTTTCACAATTGACAACTTACAAAGAGTAAGTAAGTATTTATACGTATATGTATGTGTTGTGTCAAATACACGGTAGTGTGTGTAATGTTTTCTTTATTGAATTATTGTATTTATAATGCATAATTTAAAAAAAATATTATCATTGTGCACTTCTTCTCTATATTCTCTATAAGTGTGGGAAATTTCATACTCCTCCGTCCGGGCACTTTTCGTAAAAAGGGATACAAAGTTTTTGCTTTACGTATTAAAATATAGATAATAATATGTTTTACGTATAAAGTAAGGTAAATCTATAAATCAGATGAATTTACTAGTAGATAGATAGTGATGGATTTCATCATCCAACTTATATCTTCAGAGGCTAAAGTTTAATAAATTGGCAAGTCTCACAATAATTGAATAATAATCAAGTATCACGTTTAAAAATAACTTGATTATGATTTCATTAAAAGGTTTCAACAGCCACGTCACAAGTCAAAAATAATACTGGTAAATTTTGACAGTAATAATGTATAATAAATACAAAATTATGTTTGTTGTTTATGCTAAAAAAATAAGTCTCTCAAGAGAATTTTGCAACGGGGTAATTAAATTTTGTAATATTAATGATAACCAACTTGATAATGAGGTGTTATTGATGAAAGTAATAATTAAAAGCTGTCTTGAAGCAATCGTGACTTAAGAATGATATTGGTCGTCATAGTCATAATATATTTTGGATCGTTTTTGGGGTTTCATCTTTCAACAACTCGTAGTGGCCTGAACTATAGACGCCCGGTGTACCCTTATCTAGCGAAGCCATTATGCCGGCACTGGAAGCCCTCAGTGTCGTGGTGTGCAACCTATTTGACAAGACATACGACTTACAATTACTAGATATAGACTATCAGAGAGACTTGACAGGTGTGCCTCGAAAAGAAACAAAAGAAAAACACGATCGTTCACTCGCAGTGGTCATTTTTCAATGCCTGAAAAGGCATATATGAAAAAGACGACAAAGAACGAACCGATTGTTCGCTCAGGTTTTTTTTATTTATTTTTTATTGCTCTTGTAGGCAGATGAGCATACGGCCTACCTGATGGTGAGTGGTT